AGAGAGGAGTGCAGGAAGGATAGGAGGAAATTATTAGATGTTATCTCATTACATTGTTTTGTTACAGAGGGAAAGTCAGACCTTAAATCCAAAGCATGCAAGGGCTAGAAGGTTGATTCTCAGAAATCAAGGCTGCAAGACGATTGTTCCCTATGTCACACAGACTGGCAGATTTTGTGCTTTTAATATGGTTTGGGCTGATGAAATTAGTAGTGTCCCCTCTGAGTAACTTAAAACAACAGAAAAGACACAAAGGGAGTCACAGACTGAGAAACATTTCAGTGATTAGATGGAGCTGATAGGCTGCCTAAAGCAAAATTCAGGCATCGATTCTACCAGAGGGCCTTTTGTAAGTCCTTCAGAGGTCGATGGTGCCTTTGATTGCAAAGCATCAGTCTGACAGCAAGGTATACAAGTTTGGCCTCAGCCAAACACACACGAAATGTGGGTGTCAGTCAGAAATCAGGCAGCAGAAAACACGCAAAACAGTGAGTATATGAATCGTGGACAGGATTTGCAGTTAATTCTCTTTAAAGCCTGCCAAGTCATTTGCATTACAGTGTTGTCATCTAAAGATACAGTCACGGGAAGGAACAGAAAAGTAGTCTAAGATGAGATGTTTTTCTAGGAAGGCTCCCATACTCACAATCCAGACATCCAGATCCTGCATCAATCTTATTCTTCTTTCAGGAAACGAGTAAAAGATTTTGTAGTGACACAAATATGCCTGAGGCTAAAGAAAGGACTAATGACAAAACAAATTGAACACACAAAGCAGTCCCAGTAAACAAAACCTACTACGTTTCTACAGTTCCTTTCTTTCCAGAGCATTCAAAAAATTCAAGAATGCAATGAAATTAAAAATATGGAGGAAAAGCAAACTATATGAATCACAGTGATTTCCTTGCAGCATATGGTTCTGCCATAGAACTTCAGGCAGGAGCTCTACTATGCATTGCTATAAGGGACAATGCGACAGCTACTGATGAAAACATAAAGGACCAAGATGCTCTTTTCCTAACTAATTACTCCCTTTCTTTACTTAATTGATAATAAGAATACAACAGACTATTTCAGTTGGAAGGGACCTACAACGACCATCCAGTCCAACTGCCAGACCACTTAAGGGCTGACCAAAAGTTAAAGCATGTTATTAAGGGACTTGTTCAAATGCCTCTTAAACACAGACAGGCATGGAGCAACGACCACCTCTCTGGGGAGCCTGTTCCAGAGTTTGACCACCCTCTCGGTAAAGAAAGGCTTCCTAATGTCCAGTCTAAACCTTCCCTGCTGCGGCTTTGAACCTCTACCATGCATCCTGTCACTGGATACCCAGGAGATCAGCACCTCCCTCTCCACTTCCTCTCCTCAGGAAGCTGTAGAGAGCAATGACATCACCCCTCACCCTCTTTTTCTCCAGATTAAGCAAACCCCCAGTCCTCTGCCCCTCCTCACAGAACATGACTTACAGTCCTTCCACCAGCATTGTTACCCTCCTCTGGATGCATTCGAGTACCTTAACACCCTTCTGAAACGCTGGGGCCCGTAACTGCATACAGCACTCCAGGTGAGGCTGCACCAACACCAAATACAGCAGGATTATCCCCTCTTTTGACAGGCTATGCTGTGCTTGATGCACCCCAGGATGCGATTGGCCTTCTTGGCTTCCAGGGCATGCTGCTGTCTCATACTGAGCCTGCTGCCACCCAGCACCTCCATATGCCTTCCTACAAGGCTGCTCTCCAGTCACTCCTCACCCAATTTACACTTGTGCCTGGCGTTACTCTGTCCCAGGTGCAGAATATGGCATTTGTTATTGTCAAATTATGCCATTAATCATTGTGCAATGCACCAATCTATCTAAATCCCCCCTTCAGAGAGACAACAGCATCTTTCAGTTTAGTACTGCCAGCAAACTTGGTAGTGGTGAATTCAGCTCCTGCATCCAGATCATTGGTAAATACATTTAACAGAACAGGTTCTAGGACTGAGCCCTGAGGAACACTGCTGGTGACCGGGCACCAGCTGAATGTAGCCCCAGTCACCACAACCTTTTGAGCTCTGCCATTCAGCCAGTTCTTCACCCAGCACACCCTGAACCTGCTCATCCCACAGTGGACAACTTGTCCAGAAGGATGCTGAGGGAAAGTGTGAAAAGCCTTATTAAAATCCAGAAAAATTACATCCACCTTTATTCACTAGGCAGGTAACCTTATTCCTTCATTCACTAGGCAGGTAACCTTATTGTAGGAAGATATTAGATGAATAAAGAAGCAGGTGCCATCTTTTGCTCTGGAAATAGAAACAAGCAGAAGATGCTCACACAGGATTGAAATTTATCTCCAAGCGAAATTTCCTACCCTAATAAAAAATTCCACAGAGGTGTTAGTAAGCACAGAGAACTAGAAAGGTTGCTTTATGTATTACTGAGCTCAGCCCAGCAATAATTGGCTAAAATACTAGTTTGCCTATACAGAAGATCAAAGCAGAGGGTCCTTTCTGGCCTTCATCTGAAAGAAGGTATCTTCAGCACCCCACTGCGCTCTGTCATAAAACTGGTCTCTGTTTTGATAGTGCTCCAGAACAAAGAGTAATCCTAAGAAGGCCTCCAGGATGATACAACTTGTTCTTCAATTCAAAAACAAACTAAGCTCCTTCCTAAGCTGTGAAATCCACGGTACTTGCACTATCCTCACAGATGTGGGTGACGCTTACTGACAAAAAAATTTCACTTTTACAGTTCTATATAATAGTGTAATAAAGTCATACTGTTGTTTTTTTTAACAACCAAACAATTCTCACTCCAAAATTCCTGTTGTCTGTGCTGTTTTATTGAAGTGTAAATATTAAAAAAGTGACAGAATAATGTGCAGGGCTCATGATACTTAACTGGAACAGAGTAACAGATTTTGAAGGTTCTGTTGTATTATACATCCTAGATTTCCCCAGTGAATTATCAGACCATGCATGTAATGAATCTATATCTTGAATTAAAAATACATCCATCCAAATGTCCCAATAAAAATCCAATACTTATAATTAGGAATAAATAGTATCTAATAAACAGGCACAAACACCAAGTCTGGAAATCTGCCAGAATGTCTCTGTAGACACTTTCCTTCTAGCCAAGTAGCCGTTTCTGTGAAACTGAACTTAAACTTAGTCATAAGTCCTACCGCATAATTGTTGCTGCAATTTCTAAGTTATTACGTAATACTCATGTCTTACAAGCTTGACCTTGTTCCTGTGTCAGTAAACTATAAAATTGTTGTTTAAGTCAGTGAGAATGGATTGAAACCATTTGCTATTCATAGTACTATGGCACGTAGTATTATTTTTATTGTACTGCTTGAATTTAGTTTGTTATGCACTGTTTGGCCCAGACTCATGCTCATTAACTTCAGAAACTTAAATGAGATGCCTAAATTGGGAGAAAACCTGTAAGCTTCTTAAATGTGTCAACAGAGCGAAACAAGCCTCTTCCTCTAAGAAAGATCTAACCTACCTTCAGAAAAAAACTCTCCCTAAATTAGGAAAGGGAGAGATTTTTAGAGAGTTTACTAGTTTGTGACAATGCTTGTATTGCTTCTCTGCTGAAAAGCAGGTAACAAAATTTGAACAAAATGGTTAAGCAGATTATGTGCTAGAAAAATCAACATTCGATTTGAATATACACCTGTAAAGGTGTATAGAAATATGTCTATTTCTATTAAAAAAATAGAAAATTTTCCTGCTCTTATTTTGCACAAAAATTGTGAAATATCTATATTACTCATCATTATATTTCTAAGGGTACTTCTAGTAAAAATCAGGTATAACAGCCAGTATGAAATAATAACTCCAGTCCATTTACTGTCAAGTTAGCAGGAAATAAATGGCATCGTACTATTTTTTTCTTGCTATAGACTTTATTGGGGCATTTTATGCAGCTCCATTTCATTTGCTCATCTGTGAAGAGCACCACTTTCTAAAATTTAAATGGGCTGTATATGAAATTTTAAACTTTCCAATGACAGAATATTTCAACAGTCTTTTCATCGGAATTACCAAAAAATTTTGAAGTCCATGTTTCTTTTTAAATCAAAACACTGCTATTTTTATTCAAGCACAGTGAGCAGGAACAGCTCAGCTGCACTTTCACATCAGTTTATTCAAAGAGGGTATGTACTAATTAACTCATATCCCATTGTCTCAACATATAAAGAGGCAGTCTTACACATTGCCCTCAATTCCAACTGCTCTTATTCCTCTTCCAACTGCTGCTCTGGGGGAAGATCTCTGCATTTGGACAAGGTCCCTTTCCACACACCACATTCTGTAAACGTGGGAACAGAGTGAATATGGAGCTTTGAGTACCTCCTCTGGCCTTCACCTTTACCTCTTGCATTTAATTGTCCCTCCATGTGAAAGCAATTAGGAACAGTAATGCCATCCTTGACCATAACACTTCATAGCTGACAGTATTCTATCAGGAGGTGGGTGTTTGGCTGGGATGATCACCCCAGTCCTTGAAGATGGCTTTCAAGGTAGGTAGGCCTCCCAGCATGACAATGGAGAAGGTATGAGACCCAGACTATTCCCAAATCCCCTTCTAGGCTAGAGCTTCCATCTCCATACCAAACACCCTCAAGCCCCCAGATGTTTTAGGCACTATTTTTGTTTGTATGTTGGTGCACCCCTGACATCCCAAGCAAGACGAAGACCTTATTGAGTAAAGCCGTTCTACAGCCAAATCTGAAATAAGCTCACAGTCTATATCAGCCAGAGTCAGACAGAGAAAGATGGAGACAAGGGAGGAAGAACACGGTAACAAAAATAACTTCAGCAGAGAAGCAGGAGCTCGGATGGCTCGGCTGCTAACAAAACAAATGTGGCACACATCCCTTCACAAAAAAAATGAAGGCTAAGTAACTGAACTGCAAGTACAGTGATATTCTGTTCTCACTCAAGTCAAATCTTCACTGTAAGCATTTTACCCATTCACCATTTATATTCATTACCTTCTCATAAGCTTTTCTTTTTGTTTCAGAATCCATCCAGTCATTTTCCTTTTCCAACATGTCAATAAAAGCCCAGCGAATTCCTTCAGTCAACTCCTCCATCTGCAAAACATTTAACAAACCCCACCCCAGTAAAATATGTCATGGCAAAATTGTTATAAGAAAAGTTCTGGTGCAGGCAGGAGTGATAGATTTGGTTAGACCATGAATGATTCCAAATCACAGTGTCTGCTCTTCCTTCTTGAAGGCTGATTCCTTCCCTTCTTTCAGTCCTTAGACATTTCTTGTGAAAACAAGTTTCTTTCCATTTTTCTTTTCCGTCAGTTGTCCCACACAACCCGTTCATTGCTGATCCTTTCATGTCACAGCTGTAAGAATGTCTGTCTTGAAATCATGAAAAATACTGGGAGAAATACAGTGATTTGGGGAAATTTCTCATACTTCGATTCTAGATGAGTAGCCCATGTAGAAGGAGGAGCCAGCTCCAAGACATTTGAACAAATAAAGCCTTTTCTACCGAGAGAGAACTTGTAGCCTTGTTTGCTTTATGTCAGACTGAGACCCACCTTACTAATATTGCCAAAGGACTGCATTGCGGCTGATGGCATCACAATCCACATACAAAGCAGTATCCAAATATTTAGCCTGTATTTAGCTGTGTTTGTGAAGTACTCCTATCCCTTGCTTACTCCTGGGATAGAGGCCCTGGCTCACAACACTGAGCAGCCTTAGCTGCTTCTGTGGCCGTGAACCACCAGTGACAGCTTGTGTCTGCGCAAAGGTGTGAGAGCCCACAGCCATTTTAGCTGGGTTGCTCCTTCACATGAGTTCTCTACAAATGGGGTTTTTTCAGGCACCTATACAAAGCCATGAGCATATGACAAGCAAGTGAAAATAAATAAATAAATAAATAGAATGAAAATAGGAGTGTTTCATCAGCATGCACACTAAGAAAACCCTGAAGTGACAGAGAACAAGAAACCCAATGGATAAGAAATGCATTATATCGGTCTAAAGAGAGAAATATCCTCATGCCTATGCATCCGTCTGGCACCACAGACCAGAAAGGTGTAGGCAATCAGCTGCTTCCATTTATATCAATAGATGAACCTCATAACAGGTAGCCACTGAGAATACTGCAAGAGCGAGGCAATTCAGGGGATCCAGCCGTCGCTGGAGTCCTTGAGCCGAGACCAAACCGGAGTTGAGATAGCACAAGACATGACAGATAATCATTACAGGAAGACTATTGGACCTTTGTGTTACCAGTTATGTTACATTTAAAACTAATGAAAATGTCAACTACCAGAGATTTATGTAATTTTATTCTACAGATCTGATAGCTCTGAAATGTCATTAGAAGTGGGGACTGAACCCTGGAAAGTAACGTCACCTTTAGCAAAATTGTAATTTATGTATCAGATGTATATTTTAATCTGAAAGCGGTCTTTTTTTGTGGTGGACCCAGACAAAACATAGCAAAGCTCCTTTGATTATTCTTTTTTTTTTTTCTACCCTTTTCAAAAAACATTTTCTTATTTTTAGAGACAATATGGGAAAACTGGAACAGGTCTAGCATTAAATATGACTAAATAGTCAACATTCACAGTAAACTGCATCCCAGGGAACAGGGTAACTTAAAAATATTGATGACAGAGCACTGCCTCAATTAACTTAGTGCACTAATGAGGTGAACTGCATGTATTTGGAGGTTACAAGTTCAAACTCTAGCTCTGTAGCTGGGCCCTGGTGTATACTTAGGCTTTATGCACCAGCTGTAGCTCCAGGGGGCAGGGGGAGAAACCTATTCCTGCTATCAAAGTTATTATTGAAACTGCTCAGGCATAGCTGTAAGAAACACTGCAGGCACTCTGGGTTAGAAACAGTGCTATATTTAGACACAAATAATGTCTTTCTTGATAAAAGGAGAGAAGTCTCTAAGGTATGAAACACCAGTGACAAAACATGGGGGAAAAAGAATCCATATTATGCATAACTCAGGATTTGCTTATCATAGACAGATATATGCCATGAGGGGCGGGGTGGGAATCTGTACAAATGAGTGCTTTTCTCAAGTGCTTTCTTACTGCTCAAGGAAAAGAAATAGAACTGAAAACCAATGAAAATGATAACACCAAAAATTATTAACCTGAAAAGCAAACTTCTAAATGGATTGCAGCAACTCTCACCTGTGTCTAATTTTATATCCATTGGGCAGTTCGTTATAAGTCTGAATCTTGTGATCTACACCATAAATTTTATATGCATTTCTTACAGTGGATGTTACTGTGAATTCAGACTTGATAATTTTTAAAGATTTGTTCTGAAAGGAACATACCTGCTAGGGAATTATTTTAATTAGGTCATATTTCAACAGAAAACCACTCTGTCAGAATCTCAGAATATTACCTCACATATACAAACATGAAAAAGTGTCCGTCCCCACCATACAGTGTACATTTCTTACAGTCCTTCTCTTCCTACCTATCCTGTGTACTGTGTACCCCTGAAATATTTTTGCCACTAAACTGCCAAATAGCACATTACAAATTCGATCAAGAATCAGGGAACTGAAAAGCTACATCTCAGAGAGGAAACTCCAGCTGAAGACAAGTAACAAAAGAAATGCAAAACCTGAGAGGGAAACACATTTCAAAGATCTGGAGAATCCAAATCAGAGTGTTGGTCTGTCTAAAATGGAGTCCTCCCCTGAGAAAACAGTCCAACTAGATCAAGTCAAACAGGCAAACTCCAGCTGCTGAGCCAGGGCAGTGCAGGACTATCACAGAGCTATTTCACATGCTTCCTAAACAGTTGTGCCTGTCCTACACCAAGAGCTAAGTTCAATGACTAAATTAGTTCATTTTAAACTGATTACTGTTGGAAAATCAAAGGTTGGAAAAACAGATATTGGAAAATCCTGTGAGAAAAATATGAACTGAAAATAAGTCATATATTATTGTGAAGGGTAATTAATCATTTGAACATGTTATTACAGGAAGTGACAACGTAGCTATGTTTGAAGTTTTACAATGAGGATGAATGTCAACCTAAAAGCTATTCTTTGGACTCAGCAGAATGGGAGAATACTTTCCTTCACTGTTGAGCAAAAAAAAAAAAAAAAAAAATCCAAATCACAAATACAAACTCCCAGTATATGGCTGTAAGCTTCCCTTAATTTGGGCCAGACATCAGTTACATTTTTCTTGCTTAGACTACAGGTGTAATACTGTCAGCTTTAAAAGGGTAGCCCTGAAGCAGAGAAATCTTGAGTAGCAAAGACTACTAGTCAGTAAAAACTTTATAGTAAAGAGTTACACTAGCTATACTAAATCATTTCTCATCGATACCCCTCCACTGTCTGTCTGTCAGATATTTTGGTAGTTCAAAGACTGATTTTCTCCATCATATTGTCAGCACAGTCTGTCTGTCATTATTTACACAAATTAATGCTGCTCAGCCTGTTTTTAATCTGGCTACATGTTTTCTCTGAGGACTGTATATGGAAAGAACAGGCAGTGCCCATGTGGACAGAAAAGTGATATTTCTTTGAATTTCTTCTGCTTTGTCCTTGTCTTTTTTGTTTTAATTCAATTAAAGCATTTTTAAGAATCTTGTCTCTTTTTAAACATCAGCCTAACATCAGAGACAATTTGCGAGGAGGAAGCCAATAATTAAAAGTTACTAGACAGAGATCTCAAAGGACTCACCATCTCTTTCTTGTCTTCTTGAAAATGCGCGTTCACAAACATCTTGCCCACAACATAAGGGAGTGCGCTTTCAACAAGGTCCACACATTTATCCCACTGGGGCAGCAAAGTTGTGGTTCCATGGATCACCTGTTGGCCGGTACATGTAGTAGGTCATAATATCATATTGTTTGAGAAGGACAAGTCTGCATCCACACACAGTATGGCCTTACGCATATTTGTCAAAGAGCTACCAAAAGGAAACAGTAACAACACTTTACACTTATTTCTGTTTTCATCAAGTGCTATGCCAAACCTTTTGAACCCCACAAAATAACTCTAGGATTTTAACTGTTCAGAAACAGTACAATGGTAATGACTTAGGGAGGCTGGGCTTAGAGGGCTAGTTGTGGGAAGACATTCCCAAGTGCGAACTTCAGGCTAATCTTGGTAGTCTTTCTGTGTTACGTGGAGAGACACTTTCCTCTAGAAAATTCCTGCTCTGAGATATTTCCTCAAAAGCTTGCTCTCTCAGCTGAGTAGGTGAAAGACTTAGAGTGATCATCCTCATGAAAATGAGGTCATTCTTTACGAAACACCTCATACAGAGCCCTCCACTGCCGTGAAATGATCTGTGCTAACTAATGATGTCTAACATTGGTAGGTACGTGTCCACAACCTTTTGCCATTTACCTGTCTAGCTACTCTTAAAACAGCCCGCATGAAAAAAAATAGATGCTTTCAGTCCCTTTCCCAAACAGAGTATTTACAGGAGAAAACACATTTGAATCATCAGGAATCCTTGAATACATGTTTGTCCCCTCAAAATCTCACTCCATGTTGTGGTAGAAAGATGCCAGTAGAACGGCTTGTATATTTTACTAAAGGAATGGTGGTTCAGTATGCGATTTCAGGCTCTGGTGATGTCCCTGCATACATGAGTTTCAACAGAGAAATAGTTAAGGCACTAATAAAGGAGGTAAACTAGAGCTCAAGCACATTACTGCCTTGTTTTTGGTTTCCCACAGGAAGAATGTTGTTACCGTGGATGCTTACCCAGTTAACATTACATCTTCTCATCAAGGTGGAAGTTCATTTAAAAAAAAGCACACACAACAAAATATGAGATGAATATATGCAAGCAATAGCAGTGCTGATTTAAGAAACTTTTGTTGTTTTCAAGGTTCAAAGAGTTCCCTTTCCACTTAAGGAACTTCTTAAGCTTTTCCACACAGAACAAGCAAAATCCCAGCACACTAGTTAACACCTGTCAGCTGTGTAAAAGGCAGAGCACAGTCAACACCAGATCAGGTCAGGAGGGATAGGATTTTGGCCTCTCACAGACTATACAAGCCTCTTAACCACTGATCTAGCAGTTTCTGAGCTTTTTCTTTCGTTCAGTCTTCTCTTCCTTTGAGCCAAAGATTAAATTTCTAGCAAAACTGAAGGGTTTAGATTTGTTGTTTTGCAACAGAAAGAGATTTCCTTGGAAAATTCCAGAGTAGCTTAACCCTCAGTTACTGAAGGTCAGATATTTTGGTAGTTCAAAGATTGATTTTCTCCATCGTATTGTCAGTAATTAAGCTTAATCAATGACTCACACTTAAATACACCAGTGAGTTGCATTTTCAAACGCTTTTTATTAATACTGTGCGTTCACTAATAGATTTTCAATGACAGAGAGAACACTGCTTCTATAACAAAACCACATTAGGCAAACCAGTACACAATAAGGTAATGGTTTCCTAAACAGAGCCAAATTTGAAAATAAACTCCTTTTTCCAAATTCTACAATCCTCATATATAACACAGCACTTAAAAAAAAAAAATAGAGGGAAAAGAAAATTTCTCTCTGGGGTCCAAGCAAAACCACAATAGAGCTTTTTCTTGATGCAGAGAAAGAAATGCAGTCATGGCATTAGTCATCAGAGCTTGAAATTCCTTCTGAAATCTCTGACTACGCATCAGCCACAGAAAGATTCAGGAGACAGAGGTGGCTTTTAGACTGTGACATATTATTATTACAACATAATAATTATCATTATTTTGAGGGAGGCTTGACTGTAAGGAGGACAGAAAAACAGCACAGGCTGTGAGACCAATAAAAATAGAGCTGAGAGGAATAGATTATATCTCACAGCTGGTTTATTGATATTTATGTTACAACAGCCAATTAGAACTGCCTCAAAGCAGTCCTCCTAATATTAACGTACCACTCAAAAACCCAGTGCTCCAGATAGTAACAGTGACTATAAATAGAAGGTTTCAAGCCCTCCCAATCAGTTCAGAGCTTCACAACACAATTAACTGATCTCTTCCCCAGGTGCCACTGCACATTTGCTGGGACTCAAAGCACCACTGCAGAGGAGCTGCTGATAGTTGCTGATGTGGTAATCAAAGCACTTTCTCTAGAGTCAGCAGGTTTGCTCTATTTCTCAACCTGAAGTGTTTTGAAGTTTCATCATGTCTTTTTTCCCTCTCTTTGCAAAGAGTTCAAGTGCCTTAATGCCAAGATTTCTACACGTAGGCCGTAAAAGCCATCAATAGGAAATGAGAACCTCGTGAAAAAAAAAAAACAACTATGCTTATGAGAGGTGAAGCCGACTGAATTAATGAATAAAATATATTCTTCCCTTTAAGGGTCACTGATTCATCTCATGGTCATGTCCTCTTAGTAGTCATTCAATGTTTTCTTCATTTATCTGGCAAGAGGTTAGCAGGTCCTTTTTATGATCCCAGAAGACCTGCATGCCTTTAGTCCTCCAGCCTCAGACTGGACAAATCTGTTCAACAAAGCCTTTGCTTTGGACTCCATTTCTCACAATGTTTCTGCCGACCTGTGAAGTCTGTTCCCTTGAGCTGTTTCCTGCGCTTAACTTTAGCTATTGATTATTAGCTATGGCTGTTTACTGCACTTAACTAACTCTCCATCTCCAGGTCCCAGGGGCAGAAAATGGGAATGAGCTGCTGACTCACTGCCCTTACTGTGCTGTTCCTAATTTTTCACAACCACTTACATGAAACCTTGATGACATTGTTAATAAGCATTGAATCAACTTAAATTAGATTTCTCTCGAAGCTTCTGGAGAAAGTACCCAGAGAAGTGACAGCAGCTAGTTACCATATCAAAACACACAGTATCCAAAGCTTAAAGTTTCCTTCCAGGATTTTTTCTGACCATAATATAACTCAATATAACTCAGTATTATGCTGCAGACTGGCTGATGGCCAGCATCAATCTATTTTACGTGGCTAGCAAGGAACGTCCCAGGAGGGGACACACTTACAGACTTGTCACTGTGGTTCTGACAGCCAGTTTCTCACATGTTTGCATGAAGAAAATGGCATCTTTAATATGACCAATTTGAATATTATTTCAGAAGTATAAGAGACAGCTTTTTCTGTGTAGTTTCCATCAAGCTCTTTGGAATTTATTTTTAGGTACATGATCAGCTCAGAACTATTCCAGTACCACTCATGAAAGGCATCATGGGTGTTTCACTTAGCCACGTGCTGCCTCGCCAAGGCGGACAGAGCACCCACACCCCCTGTACCACGCCACTGGCAGCGTAATGACAGCCTGTTGCCATGATGTCACCAAGCAGCTGAATTTCATAACGACAAACAGAAAGTTTCCAAACATAGGAGCGGGATAACAAAGCACCTTTCAGTTTCACTTTCAACTTTGTTTTTTTAAATAACCTTCTTGCTGCCCACAGGATTATCAGGATGGTTTTCTATTCAGGGTTCACTTAATCAAATGTGTGTGTTTTAATTAAATGCTCATATTGCTTAATAGATAATTAGCTCCACTCTCATAGCTTGAGGCTGTGACTAATGTCTTCTGGGGCTTCTGCAAGCCCAAGCAAAAAAGGCACCTGATAGGCTGCTTTGAGGAAATGGCTATGTATGTATGTGCTACAGCTCATGTAAAGATGGCACTACAGAATGAGAAAGGTTTGAGCAAGCTTAGAAACGATGAAATGTTATACTTCTGTTTTACCAGAGCTACATTCAGGCATGTGTAAACAGTAGGTTTTTTTCAAAAGCTTAGATTTTAGCCAAACCTATTTGGCCTGCAGGAATAGTACAGGCCACAGCCCTCGCACGTAAATAAAAACTTTCCAGCTTTCAAGTTTCTGCATAAGGTTTTTACAGGAGATGTCATAAAACTCCTTAACATAATCTAGAAGACATTTTTCCTTAGTGTCATATACAAGAATATGTATGTTAATTGTTTTAGAGAGAGTATTCAACAACAACAAAAACCAACCCCTTTATTCAAGAAACTGATCCAGAATGGAAAACATTTAATGTTTTTCAAAGACATAAGCAACTGTAAGGGAAACCAATAGTGTTGACTCTAGTTCCATTTTAAATGCTATAAAAACTCCAACTTACCCGAGAAAATTCCAGCCACCGATACTGAAAACGTCTACTGAGGTTAAACAACCTTGAATAAACCATCCTCCACACCAGATAGTTAGCAAGAGTCCTGTTAAATCAGACATATTTTTATCAGACATCTAAATGCAGATGATGTACTGCAAAGTACCCACAGAAACATTTCAAATGAATGGTGGAAATCTCACCTTGAAAATTAATGTGTAAAATCTAAATTGATAAATCCCTATTACACACAAAAAACTGTATGATTGCAGCCGGTTAATATGTAATTGCACCATGATACCCATCTTCTAGGGGATATTTACAATGAGTTCATCTCCTGGTATGACATTTTTATATAATGCTTTTTTCAAAAGGCAGATTTAATTTTCCATAGAAGCGGCAAGAACTGTGTCATAATAATAGTTGCATAAAAGTTCTATCCAGAGATAAGCAAATAACTGATTTTTCTTTTGTAAATCAAAGTGAATGTTATCTCTCCTCATTAGCAGGGCACATAAATCATAACTATGAAACTGAATAGATACCAGTCCATCCCATATATACTATCGTTATCTCATATTTGTATCTTTTATTAGAAGTCAAATATACTTTTTAAAGTTTTTACTACCCACAGAATTATTAAAGTATTACCTCTCTTATTTTGTAGATGGATAATTGGAATACCAGAAAAGGTTACTGAAGGAATACCAGAAAAGGTTACTGAGACCAGAAAGTCTCAGTAACAAGAATCTCATAAGACCTGAGGCTGAGAGTTGCAGGAAGAACTTGTTCAAACTTCCCAGGAGACCTGACACCCATGCCCCTTTTCCAAAACTTCAAGTACCTGACTGGAAGATTTATCTAGTCTATACTGAGCTTTCTCCATGCTCAACAGTGGCTGTAGGAGGTAAAGGTGCATTGTGAAATGCAAAATTCAATTTCAAACAGTCTCAAAACAAGTCCAATAATGACCTACACATATTCTCGTCTTATAGACGACACATTTTTTCAAGGATAGTAATTTTTCTAAAGCTATGGATATCCAAATGTTGCTTATTCTACACTGGGATATACATAATATTTGGGGCAGGCCATAGACCTCTATAGGGAGGAAAATTTCTCCTTTGCAAGCAAAGATGCTGTTATGGACCATCTGAACAACTACCCCATCTCTAAAAGTCCCATTTCTGCAATTTCCCATTGCCATAGGTGGGGAGCAGCATAGCTGTTCCTACAGTGTCACTCCATTAGTTCCATTCACAGACACATCCCATACGGTCCCCTCCTCTGCATCGTAACAGGTTATAAACACACTTTGTGGGTGTGTTGCCTTCACAGCAGCATCCACCTGAGCCATAACTTGGGGTTTGCCCCTAACCAAGCTCCAGTCCACCCATACAAGGCCTCCAGCTCCAGATACCTTTTTGATGCAAGCTTAGACTCTTGGTCACTCATCCAGGGAGGTGATTAAGAGGCGAGAACAGAGAAGTCTAAGGCAAGCTACAGCCACGTATTGTCTATTAGGGACTGAGGACATTAGCGCACACAAATCCAAGAGGGACATGACACCAAGAGCAGATGGATGGCTGTGTGCTCTCCATGAGATGGCCGAGAAGTGCACCAGAAACCAGCCTTGTCAGGCTCTCAGGTCTGAATTCATCCCGTGCAACTCACTGTAACTTCAGACATGCCACATAAAATAACCCTGAGCATATTCCCTTTTCTAGTATTCCAGTGTATCATATAATACACATAAATCCCCACAATAATCATAAAACATACCTGAAAAATCTTTTTAGCATGAATAATGTATATTTATAACATGGTACATGTTACAAACCCCAAAATAGTTAGCTTTGCTTAGATGATCAAACCATTTTGAGATAATGCTTTAGGGTCATTAAAAATTTATTCCCAACTATGAAATACCAGAAGGTATAGATTTTTCTCCTTAGCACATTTCTGACAAGGCAGAATACCCTCACTCAATGGCAACTGATGCACCCTAAAAGTGCTCTCACTGGTTTTGTAAAAGACTTGTACTCCACAAGCCTCAAAACTACCTGCCTCAGGTATTTCTGCACAGCTGAATAGCATCCATGCTCCTGCAGCTACTACTCCATGGATCTAAAACAGTATTTATGCAAGTCCTACAGAATGAAAGGTTTAAAGTTTTAATTTCGATCAAAAGTCACAGGTAGAAAAACCTAGCAAAATAGACTGCTATCATAAACCAATTATTTGTCACAATTCAATATTTAATTGCTACCGATAAAAATCAGTTCTCCCTTCTGTGTGCATCTTGTTCTCATCTGGCAGTGCTTATCCTTATGTGTGAGTTGGGGAACCTCTGTCAAATTGGTAGTGAATGAAAGATTGAAATTTGTAAAGGGTAAGTCTCAAAAGGTGACCTATTCTAAGACACTGATATCAGTGAGAATTCAGAAACTTTTGTATCAGGCATAAGTAATGAAGGCAGCTGTCAGCTTCAGGAAATATCCCACAGTTAACTGAGGTTTGTTTTAATTTGGGAAAGAAAAGAAGGTTGACATGTCCTAAAACCAAGTTGTCTGATGTGATTGTAATAATTCCTGATTGTAATCACACTAGAATCCACTGATACATATAATGCATAAAACAACAGAAAGGTTTTGCTTCAAAGCCCAGAGGTATGTTTGGGGGGGGGGGAGGAGGAGGGGCAAGGAAGGGAACAGTTGAGCGGTTTTGTTGTTGTTTGTTTGAGGAGCCGTGTTCTTTATTTTGTTTTTCAAAACAGAAACATGTTTGATCTGAATTTATTTCTCTATTTGGGGATGATTATTTTATCTTTTTGGCTAACTGTACAAACTTAAAATCAATTGGTCATCTTCATTTGGTTTAAAACTGACACTTTTTGTTTATGAAATGCCTTCAGTGCGTATCTTGGGGTGATTTTCTTCCGGCTTTCACAAATAAGTTCAGAGAAGTTAACCTCTTCACATGGACTAAAATCTAACAAAACATACAAATCCTCCAGAGCACTTATTGTTGTAACCTTTCAGAAGAGTACAGTACAAAGTTCCCTATTTTAATTTCAAAATGACTGTTACAGAAAGAAGTGTGGGCTCTTTCTAAACCAATATGGCCATTACTGTAATACACACTTCCAAAGAAAGTGGCACTGAGCTTGTTTGCTGGAACAGTTAAAATTATACCAGCACTTATGAATATCTATAAAGGAATGCTCTACCCTGTCTGGGAATAAAGTAGCCTGCTTATGTAAAATTCTGTGAGTTTGTAATATTTTAATCAACAGACATGGTGGCAATTAAATAGGATAGATTTAATATGAGATAGATGGACAAATTAATTGACATTTTAAGTAAAATACCCCTTCCGCAAATTTTGAAATCTATTTGAAAATTGTATTCATAATTGAGTCATGAATCAAATTATAAGTACTGGAAAACTTCTGTCTCTATTGCTAGAGGCAGAAGTTCAAGTCGAATTATTGTAACTTCCCTCTCTAATTTTTCAGAGGCACACTAAGACCAGGAAGGAGATCTAGTGCCCCCATCCCACTTAAAGAAAGTTCTTCTTATGCTGCAGGAATTAGAGAATACTTCTCTATTCATTGTCCCATACTGCAAAGATGGGGTGGGGTAAGGTAAGACAAAGGAAACCACTTCTTCATTCCGACATCCATGAGAATGGTGAAGCTGCTTCCTTCAACAGCTGTAAATGCCTCCAACAAGGACACAGTTTACTGTATCCTATTCAAGGGTCACACACAAAGTACCAACACACAGGTAATGGAAGGGATATAAGGAGCTCTTAACTGCTGCCAGCACAGTCCCATCTCCCCCCTCATATGGAACAGCTGTACTGGATCTCTGCCATTATCTCATTTACACCACAGCTACACCTGTGTTTTCAATATACACCTCTTCTTCCTGTAATAGATATAAGCTCCATCAAAAAATCAGTCACTACACTAAAAAACTGAAGGAATCCCTGAAGACTTCTCACAAAGAAGGTGTGATTTTGGCACTGAACACCTGACATAACTTAGCCTACCTAGCCCAGGACTGACAGGCTCCTGCAGGCTGGTCATTCAGCTTTTTGGGCAGCTTGCTACAGAGTGACGTGCTCCTGAGCTGGATTCATAGCAGGGCCCTGGCTTGGGAATTTCAGACAGACCTCTGAACCACACCGCTGCACATATTTCAAGCTCCACACGGTAACTTGTTTGTATGCAGCACGGCTGTCAAGTAAATAGCAGCCTTATTCTACTAAATTCACTCTACACCCTGCCAAAGTGCTATTTTCTAGCAACATTGCAGTATGAATGATTTCACAATTCAAGGTTTTTCAGCAGGTTCTCAGAGGGAGCAGTTTTTAATATGATGATTGTGAGTCCATACGACTTGTCACCTCCATCACCAAGAACTGCTGCTGTAGCCAGCCTTAATTTTCACTCCATTCTTCCTTCCACCTGAAAAAAACCTCAGAGTACTTTGCCAGATCACTGGGGCATCAACCACCTTTTTGTGCCATTTTCAACAGTACCTATGCCAGCAGGGTGCTCATCAGGTAAGGGGACACACAAGGCATTGGAATAAAAGTATAATTTAGGGATAGAAGGTTTGTATCTGAAAAGAATATGAACTTGGTGACAAAACTTGCTCCTCCTAATGGTGCTGCATCTCCTGAAATTATAAGAAATTATTTCATGTTCTAATCACTGAAGCAAATAAAAAATTCTGGTAATGCTTTACTAGGAATTTGATTGGTCTGGATATTTACTATAACAAACCAAAGTCACAGGTTTTGCATTAATTTAATCTTTAAAATATCATATGGAGATCAAGAAATAAGATTACCTAAAAGGAAATATCTTTGTTAAGCTTTTAAAGTTCACCCTACAGGGAAATGTTAAGACCTCATTGTGAGGAGTTCACATTAAGAATATTGCCCAATTTTCTCAAGCCAGACAGTAAGTTACTTCTAGAGAAAACTATGAGATATTAAGTAATTAACATTATCATCTAATAGATAAACATGATCTTTGTTACCAGGCAATGATTGTTTGGATGGATTTCATGTACAAGAATTTTAAGTCTGCGTGGCTTGAGTTTAGCACACTATTTGCCATTTCTAATATTTTATGATGCAAATTTCTTAGTGTCAGACTGACCAGAAAATGCCTAAACCATTATCAGCTGTAAGATATGCAGCCTGAATATGCTGGAAATCAGGCACTGCTTTTGCCCACCCCGCTGACCTGGGCAGATCAGGAAGCTAGTCTCGAGCTTTGCTGAAGACAGACATTGCTATTCTTTCTGGTCATTACTCCAGCCTCCCTCTGCCATGACACACAGGCTGGCTTAACTTCTTTTGGACGCTCAGAGCCAGATTTTCCCTGAATAAGACCATAATGGAAAAAGCCTCCAGGTAATTACTCTGTAGTTACAGACTGTATCTGTGTGTGTGTTGCACACAGGGAATAACATTCTCTGTTGTCTCGCTATAAGTGCATCTTCTAAATCACCGTTTTATCCCCCCTGATGTAATTAACTTTGAGATACAAAGCATGGACAGCCCAAACCATTTAGAAGGCTTTCTTCATCAGATTAAAACAATTTTTATCTAAATTTTGCAAAGTAAGAATGTTTGATGATCTGTAAGCAGTCAATAATCTCTATTTTTCTTATTGTTTGATCTATATGTTATTTTTACAGGTACTATGAGTTAATACAAACATTCTGTCCCTGGAGACATGGAGCAACAGTATAAGAATAATGCTTCTGAATTAGTCTTTTTTTCTGAAATGTAAATTTAGTTGTGACTATACTGTACCAGCAGCAAAGAATCATTCTTTTTTGAGACAACTGCCTAACAATTTCCTTTCAAGTCCAGCAAAATGCCTCAGCAATGAGCAAATTATCACAAAAATCACTTGGATGGCATCAATAATGACATTTCAAATGGGATGTCGTCTTCATGTACACTTTTTCATTATGTTGCCCAAAACTGTTTTGCTTCCCTGTGCAAAGCACATCTACTATCTTTAATCTGAGATACCTGCATTTTACAACTATGTCTTACATGTGTAAATGATTTCACAGGATACAGGACCCCATATAAATAAGTGATGTTGAATGCATCTGCAAAAAGCAGCTTTACTGCAACCTGTGCTTTCAGTAAAACCAGAAAGGTGTTGAAACTGCAAATTCTACTACTACACACAAGCTAATATCTACATCCTCATTCAGACATAGCCAAACAGACCTTTTGCCTAGAGACTTGACTCCAAGAATATCTGAAGCACCAGGAAAAGCCCAGCAGTTGATGTCCCCTCATAAGCATAGGTGAAACCATCATAGGATCCTTACTTTTTCCTTTCATTTTCTAGTATCCTGAATAAATCCTTGAAGTACTGAGGAACACGAACAACCACATTTTCTGAAGGACCTATATCTTTGAGCTCAGGATAGAGTTTGGTGTCAATCACCTTCTTGATATAACCCAGCCAGTCAAACTGCAATGACAAAGAAAACGCTGGTTAAAACAGATTATGGAGAGAGATGCTTTATTAACAAAGTTGCACCTTTGAGACTAATGGTTTCAAAGCTTTACTTATTAAAAATTTAGAAACTATTGCACTCTGTCATTACATGTGTTTTCAAACCTCACTAAAGTTGTAACTATTTAAAAGAACATAAATTTTAACTGAGTACACACATTCTTAATGATATTCCTTTAATATGCTGCCCTGCACACTAAAGGCAATTTTAATTATATAGGTCAGATACTAAAAGAATAATTTTGCAATTATCCCCAACAAACCTGTGGAATCATGGCACTAAGCTCCGATATGTTCATTTTATTGTACATCACCTCACTTGTTCGATTTTCATATGGAATCATGATCTGTGGGGAAAAACAAAACAAAACAAAACACCAACAAACACAACATCAAAACAAGGATTATCTTGCAGGGACCTGCTCTTACATCATTACTGTCCATCATAATCCCAGTGCAGAAATATTACACCATCTGATTTCCAAGCACTCATGGCATTAACTTCCCTTTCTGAGGATGGCATTTAACTAGGAGAAGTGGAACATGGTTCATTGTCATTTTAACTCATTACTGAGGAATTTAATGAGCTGCATGTCTTCTTTGAACATATTAGACCAATTTTAGCTCTGATTATACTAAGGAAATGCACACTGATTCATAAGACATATAAGCACACCTAGGTCATTAATACTTATTCATCCATCATGTCAGGTAGAAGCCAGATCCAAACTATATGGTTTAAAAGGTCAAATCTGAGATAGGCCTGCTGGAAATGTATCTCATCTCTTGGATTTGAACATGCTCCTTGCTATGGCCTGACTCCATCTGAGGGAAGAGCCAGATAAACACAAGTTCCTCCTCATTTTCCCCCAGCATTCTGATTTCCATAGCATGAAACCTGGATACATAGACCAGACATGAATTAAAGCATTCTCCAACAAAGCCTCTTATCTAGGTGACCAGAGGAACCAGACCTATACACCGTTAAAGTCCAAGGACATAGCAAAAGAAATCCTATATATAATGCAAGTCCTTTTATAGCTGACATGGGACGTTCAGATTCCAAGATGACAGCATAGTTAGTAATAGAAAAACAAATCAAGTACAAGGTACAACTCAAAATTTTCTGTGTGTCCAAGACAAACAAGAATTCCTGATGGCAATTCCAGCCCTGCTCTAAGGTACATCCTATATAGCCTTTACGCTGTGAAATGTAAAGAGAACAGAGATTGATGCCAGACTAACCAGACAGCTGGCAGTTCTCCAACCAAAATTCTCCAGTAAGTGTCTGCGGCTTTACTATTGCTCAAGCCACACAGGAGGAGGAAAAACAAAAAACAAAACCCAAACCCAATCCAAACAAAACCAACAACAACAAAAAATAACTTTATTCTCCCTTTCTGCAAATTTCATTTATCTGACAAATCTTTAAACTCTTCTTGCTCTCATTTGTTCCCTTCTACTCAAAACTTTCCCTTTCTCCAGTAATTCAAACCTACTTGAAATCTTCTTTGTACACAACAAGCTCTCTCGAAGTATGCCACTCCTTCCTATATCCAAAATATCTTCCCTTTATTCTTGCTGTCTCTACCTGAGCACACAAGCTCTCCATTATATACACTCACTTAACATAAATACAGAGTACCACAGTACAGAGGTAAAAGCCCAAGTAACAAACAGGGCTAGCTCCTTTGCAATCACAGTAAGATGTTTATATAATTCATTGTGCTCATTAGGGATAATGCAACAATCCATGTTCTTGGACTCATGCCTAATATCTGGATATATTTTAGGAGGATTATTCATTCTAAAGGGAAATTAGGTAACCATAAGCAAGTATGGCTTGCTGCATAACGGCATGCATTACTGACCCTGAAGGTACTGTTCCATGATCCATGTCATCTTACATGGCACCTTCACCTAAATATATTTTGTGGATTAAAGCTCCGTGAGACATTCATTAAGTAAAGCATTAGAGCTACCAGACATAACAATGCCATCTTCTTATCATATCACCAATAAATAGAAGAAACACTTCCTGTTTTTTCAGTCTACTGGATCATAATGAACTATCTGCTCATTATTCCATCCAGTCTAGGTAACTGAAGCTGAGTATTAGGCTCTATTTAGAGGTTTGCCAAAATTTCATCTCTTCTTTAAGCAGAAAGATGGAAACACTCATTTACCACTATCGTGGATGGCCCTCAGTTTGGCATACATGCACCATAAAGAAGTGTCACTGCTTTTCCTCCTGTAGACAGCAACAGGAAAAAGTCATTTGCAATCCCACATTAAAGTACCAACCTCAGCTATTTTAACTTCCAGTCTTAGAACCGATTTCATATCGGACTCTGCTCGTGAGGCATTTGCACCCAGAAGCACTGCTGTATCGACCATGAACTGCAAAAAGGCATCTCGGTACTGCAAGTTGGGGGGGGAAAAAAGAAAGTGTGAAATGACCACTGGATTTGGAAAACAAAAGCAACAATGAAAAAAACTGAGGGAAAACATGGTCACTCATTTTAGTAATACTTACAGATTTAGCTTCTGTGGTGTTTTCTAGGTAATCCTCCCGAGACGCAAGAGAGAGGCTTGCTTGATCAAGCTGTTAAAAAAAAAAACACACACAAGAAAGCATTTAATAGGTAAATTCATCAGATTTGAAAGGTAGCCCTATAAGCAACCTTGGAAGACTTCATGTTTTATTGGCAATGCGTGTAAATATCTAACACACTGCACCAGCCTGAGTTCCACAGGATTTTGAAACAACAGAAGAATGTTATGCTGTGCTGACAATGTGACCTAAATCACATTGCTGTGATCTGCGAAGCTTCAGGTGCTCCCTGCAATATTTGAGCCACCTACTATAGCAAAGAATCACCTACATGATTTAAGTGTTTATGGCTCCATTAACAAGTAGGTAATGCGATAGGACTGAGTGTACAAGATCAAAGAGTTTGTGCTGACAACCATCCAGGCTAAACATATCTCAGAGGGGCACAAGAGTCAGCTTGCGACAACACTAGTCTAGTGTAGGGACCAAAAAAACATTAGGTGCTGGAGCACGTTACCCACTCTGTGCTTGAAAAGCATCATTAGCCATCTTTGACTGAAACTGAGGTGACACTTTTGAGCTTCACCTTAGACCAGCACTAAGTGCTGTATCTGGCTTTTTGAACAGACGTACTGGAACAGCTGGGTACCAGCCACAGAAATGATTGCACGCACGCATGGGAAATTGTTATGCCTGCAGTGCATGAGCTAAAGAGGTCTGGTAGACCCAGGTGGATCTTTGACTTACCTTTTGATCTAAACATGGATCAAATCTGTTGGTCTATAGGCACCCTGATATTGGAATAAGGACCTCAAGGTAATTTCTAAACCAGTCCTGAAAATTCACTGATATCTACACTTAGTCTTTTGAGTGAAGTGACTACATGGGAGTATTTGCATACCATTTCAAGTTCCTAACAAAGGAAAAATCACAGGACAGCATAGATCTTAAAATTAATACTGGAAACAGATTGCCCAAAACACTGCAATGCAATCAGGTTAGGTTAAAGTATGGAAGCTGAAGCTGAAAACATAATTCAACCATCTTCCAAACTCTGAATAAGAGACTGATGGGAGAAAAACCAACAGTTTTGAAGCTCTAAAATTATTGTTTTGATGCTGTATTTGTTTTTAAAAGATAAGTCTAATGAAGAGAGATTGTATTTATTCATGCAATTTCACCTTTTTTTTAATCTAAATCCTACACCATTTATATTTCACATTTTCTACATTTATAAAAATTACCTAAATAAATACAACTTAGAATCTAAAATTAATAAATAAATGTCATATTTTCCTCTACTGGCTGATGTTCTTGACCTTTAACATATAGCATAAAATTTTAAAAATCATCCACTAAAAGGAGAGTAACTGTGATGTTCAGTGCAACTCTGATTCTTTGAAAAACAGCATCACCACCTTTTTTCAGCATATTGAAGAAAAAGGATATACTTTTATGCTTTGCATATGTGTGTCCTGTTAATAGTTAACTTCAGATGATTTGGTGAATTTCAGTTATGTGTCTGTTGCAAGAAATGATCATCCAAATTGTTCTGGCTTCAGAGTTAGATTTGACAACTCATTGAAACTAAGAAAGGACAAATATGAGAAATAAACAAAAAAGTTAACCAACTTCCTTCAGCCCTCAAGAAAAAAAGATCACGTTGAGTGCTGAACAAAGTTTTATTTGGAGTTTCTACTTTTTTCTGATCCATTCATGATTTTGCAATGCTGAACAAAAAGGATTTTGCAATAGGGCCATTTTCACAAGCAGATTGTAATACTCTGTGGTGCATCTGCAGGCTTGGGACTTTGTTAAAACACAGACAAAGTACAATACTGGCTGATGCATTCTGCAGATCAAGTTCTTAATCAAATTAGCAGCAACAACAGAATACCCTACAGAATAATGTTATTCATACTATGTAGTGTTTCACTTATTTAGATACCTAATTCTTAGGTGCCACGAAGCATACTGACTGAGGATACTGCTAGGTAAAATTCATTTCCAAGAGACCAGCAATAAGGGTGTATCTGCTCAGCTCACCGCTGGCAGGTGACTTGGGCTGAAATATTATGACAGGAAATAACTAAATCTCTCTCCTGATTTTACTGTTTAAGTTCATTTAAACAAATCTCCAGCTGAAGCAATCCTGTCAGGAACTGAGCAGCACCTTAGCAGAATGGCATCTTAATACAGCAAACTGTTGATCTGCTGTTGACTTGACTATTCAGGAAAATGTCCCATAACTGGGGAAAAGTTGCCCTTCAATTTCATACCAGTTAAATGCCTCAGCCAAAAGGCATTTTAAAGAACTGACTCAGAATCAACATCCACTCCACTACTGCCACAGTTAACTGTTGTTTGATCCCCAAATACTATGTATTCTTGACTGTATACCTACAGCTAGTCAAGATGCTAGCAGCATAAGGATCGCAGATCCTATTTTGTTGTGATGAATGGCATCATAACTTTTTTCTTTGTCCCTTCTCTCTTGCCTTCATAAACTATTTTCTTGTGGCAGTGGAGGGCTGGTCTACTCTGGCTACTCATCTCTACTTCTTAAAAAACAACAATGCATTTGGCCCCGACACTCAGTCTCACCATGGTGACATCTCACAGCAATAGCTACAATTCCTTCTGGAGTTTTGTCAGACTACAGTGAGGCAACGTTTCTTGGGTCGTTTTCTCACTGATCTAAACTGTTGTGTAATGTCATGCACTGTTAACAGACTGGTAATGCTTTGGTCCCAAAGCAATAGCATTTCAGTAAAATGGTAAACTCTGTGTTTCAGGTTTAGAAGTGTTTAGGATACATCTCTGATGTAAGTTGCTGTGCAAGCACAAGATAATGTGTTTCCATCTCAAGAAAAATAACTGAAGTTCAAAATACCTGCTACTGGTGCACCATTCTTCATCTTCACAGACAAAAACCATTCTTCATGCAACTGATATGTCACAAGCAGCACCCAGAACACCCCCAGGAATGGATACCCACCTCTCTTGTTCTCACACACATAGAGCCTAGATGTTGGTCTACTGGGAACATATTTTACCTTTTTTTTTTTCCATTTTAAAAGAGAAAATACCCTGTACAGAAATATTTTTAAATAGCATGTGGTTCCTAGTGTCTTCTACATTCCCATGAATTGACACCTACACACATCTGTAAGTCAGTTGATAATAGCAACAATAATCAAGTGTATACATTTGGCAAGAAAACATGTTTTTTGAAAAAATGAGACCACAAAATGGTCTCAGGCTACGCGAAGTAGCCTGATAGGTATGCTATACTGTACCTTCAGGATATACCGATTGGAGAGCTTGTCATCAGCGGCCACGTATAAGCGGATGAAGACAGAGTTACTGTATTGACCACGAAGAGTTGCCAAGGCTTGGACTAAGCTAAACCTCCTTTCTGACCACAGCCCTTCAGGTCCAATGTTGGATTCCAGCACAGGCCAGCGGAATGGCGAATGCCTCAGTATACTTAGCAGGGGTTTCACGTCGGCTTTTTCAACTTTATCTGAAATGTCAAAGCGTGACAACAATTACATTCTAGACAATTCAAATCCAGCAGCAGCCACACGAGACACAAAGATTTATCGGCGTTGATTGATTTCTAGGCAAGACAAAACACAATAGCTGAAACCCAAGGCCGTCTGCTCTGCATGTGAGCATAGAAGTGTGGGAGTCCAACCCAGTTTATCTGAATCAAGAATAAGAGAGGCAAATCAGTTCCTTTCAAAAAAAAAGGCAAAGGGCTGTGATTAAATCAATTTAAAAAAACCCATTCCTTGCTCAGAAACTAGCATAGAAACGTCACTGGTTCTGAGAGGGCTTTATTGTACATAATCAAAGCTAGAGGGGTCAGCATCTTGGCATCAAGGCTATGGGGCTGTCTCAATTGCTGACTGTCAGTCTCAGGCCATGCTGGAAGAAAATGGCTCAGGAAATACAGTCTGAAAGATTCAGAAGGACAAAGGGCACTTTGATAGACAAAGTCCACTCCCTCCCACCTCATCTTTCACCCGTGCAGCTACATAAAGGTAGTGATGTGTCCCAACCTAGTGTACATCACCTTACCGCAACATTTACAAGCTCAGGAAAAGCACTCCGCAGTGTGGCTACAGGACTCCCCACCCTAACTTGCTTGACATCCAGACAACTTGAAGATAAAGAGTCCATGGTTGTCTATGCCCATACCTATAGAAGTGTTTAAAGATGTATTTAAGAAAAGTATTGAGAGAAAGGTGGAAGGTGTTGAGCAGCAGGGTCTTGAAAGTGTCGGTATGAGAATTTCATCAGAGGGCTCCTCTGATTTAGCAGGCACTACACCCACATCCCTGGGGCACGGTTTTGGCATCTTTTTGCACAGATAAATATCCCTTCACAGCTCCCTGACAAGCAGAGGTCTCTAAAACTGAATTCTTGTGCCTTGGTGTACCCTCAGTCTCGATAGCCAACTTCAGAAATGTGTAGAAGACCCTCTGCATTCAGTTGAAGCCAAATCAGCAAAACCTGTGTTTCTGCATGAAGCTTCACAAAGCTCAGCAGAGCACCAAAAAGCCTGCCTTTATAAACACAGGTAACACATGAGTGTCCCCCTCAAACGAGGCCACTTACTCTCATTCATGCAGGATGCGTAAAGGATCTTCGCCTTCTGTACAGCTTCACTGTCTCGCCTTTTGCTGATGGGTTTCTCAAGTAATGCTGAAAAAAGGAATTAAATATTTTCTTCAATCCATTGGAAAATGTAGGAACTATCTATCTGTTTGCCTGTCTCCACATTTACTTTAATCATAGCATTTGTTTAACTAAGGATGAGGTTCCATGTGTATTTTCTTCACACAGACATAACTGCACTTCTTTCAATCTCCAAAACAGAAGGATTTTTTCCTTTATTTATTTTTAAGAGGACTTGTTGACCAGTTGACAGATACTGTTTCTTACTCACCTACACAGACAGTCACCCTCAGCAAACTGAGGGGACAGGGCATCATGGGGCAAGGGTGGGAATCAGTGCACATGGCAGTGAGTTAGGAATTCTTTCAAGCAGCTCAGCCTCTGGTGCTGGTACACTGTGACATCGGGGTCTAACGGAGAAGGCAAAAGGATCCCAGCAGCAAGATTGCTGGTGTTCACTTTTGCCAGCTCTGTTGCTGCTGAAAGGATGCAGCAGAGAACTGCCCTGTTGCCCATCAGATGCACACAACTCAGTCTTTTAAATGATGCAGAAGGCCAAGTGTCCAATACTATCTGAAAAGCTGCACTGTACAGCTCTCACACTATAGGTGTCAGCCCCCTTGGCGCCTGAAAGCCAAACTAGATTTCTAGGCTGTCATCTCTCTGCATTCCTTACATTCCTCACATTATGTTATGGAAGTGAAATAGCATGAAAGGTGCATCTGAACCTCAGCAGATCGCTCTCAGCTGCCTTGAGCCATTTCATCCAACTTGTAAATCAGCCACAATGCAGCTGCAGATGCATATACTACAGCTAAATGCAGAGGCAGCTTATCCTCAGCGGGATCCATCCGCTCAGGTGCAGCATAGCATGCGCAATTCCATGGCCAAGAGTAGCAGGGTTGTACTTGAGTATAGCATGGAAACAGGGCTAGCGAACCCTGTCAGACCTGACCTGGTTTCGTAAGGCCCAAAGAGGTCCTACACAGCACTACTTTATTGTTACTGGGACCACTGGGGAGAGGGGCCTTGCTGGAACCATCCCAAGTCCCTCCTGTTGTTGTTGTCCCTCAGCCAGAGCCTTAAAAAATTTAAGGGTGCCTTCTCTACGCCACACTCCCCAGTGCTGTGGATTTCAAGAGGTTTTATGGGAAAGGGGACAGTGCAGATTGGATTTGTGTGGTGCCATGCCTGAGCTAAGAAGCATGCCCCGCACGGAAGGGGGAACAAAGTGCAACGCAGGAGTCCCAGTGGCCTGTCAAAGCAGAGGGCCACTGGGACTTCATAACAGCAGCCATAGAAAAACCAAACCCCTTCCACACAGAGCTTAATCGGGTGACAGTGCTCTGTTACTCTTCTCTGCTAGCACTGGCTGGGGTGATGCAGAGTAGAGAAGGGCTGGCAGTGCTGCTATCCAAGAGCAGGACCCTTGGTCTCCCACCCCTGCCCTTTCCAGCAGCTCATCAGAGCCCTCGCTCTGATATCATGTCTAACAGGAGGTGAAAGTCCAGCAGCAACACAACATTCTATAGCAGAGAACGGTACCAGTCTGTGCCACTCCACCTAGTATTAGAAGCTCACTCCTGGAGGCGACATTTATTTCCCAGGATTTTGTTAGCACTTTGAAGAATCTGCCATGCTGCACCTCTCAGACAATCCTTATCTGTGTTCATCTAAGCACCTATACTTATGGGATCATACTGGTGACCTCAAACTGCTCATTCGTCAAAGAATACCCTATTGATGAAGAAATGTCACTTGTTCTCCCCCTCAAATCCTTTTTCTCCTTAAAAAAACCCAATAAAAGACATAAAAATACCCCCAAACCCACCCAAACTACAACACCACATCTGCTTGGATCCTTAAGAGTTGTAATGAGATCATCTCCTTTTAGTTATGGATTTCCCTAAAAATACTGCTGGACAGGATTCCCAGTAGTTTTTGTTTCAAATCCTCAAACTGTTAAGATCTCTTAGCTTGTTAAATACCTTTCAATATCAATCATTGACACATATCTCCTGTATGCACAATTCTTAGTAGAATAATCAGACCCATTCACACTTTAAGAATGGCATTTGGGAAGAAACTATAAATGAAACCTACATAAAACTAAGGATGAAAAAATACACTCCTATTAAAGACATTGCAATAACTCTGTTCCTTGCCAGTGAGCCGCACAGCCATGAAATTTTGAAGCTAATAAAATTCAATGGCTAAGGCCCAGCTAAAGCTCAGGAGAGATACAGAGGATGAGATCCAATAAAATAAAATGAACTCTAGGTATACACCTGCATAAAATCCTGTTAAAATCAGACCTGGTGTTTTCCCATCAAACTCTTTCATTATGTGACAGAAGGAAACTGTACTCCCTGCACTATTGCAAAGCTGAGCTGGGGTAGATGCTGCCAGCTTGCTCAGAATTAATGACATAAAATCCAGTGATCAAACATGAAACCCTTAATAAGATGGTTGAATCCTGTGGATGCTGAGATAGAGGATGTAATCCATGGGTGCTCTTAGCCTATAGAGGTTTCTCTCCCTTAGCCTCCAGCTTCAACAAGGATTTAGAAGCTCAAACCTGGAGCACTGGCCAGATTCACTTGTTTTCTGCATCAGCTAATATAAAATCTAAATACAAGGTTTAGAAATTCGTTTCTTACTGAACTCACAAGTACATATCTATTTTACATGTCTTTGAATATTTAAATTCTTCTTAAAGGAGAGAAAGAAAAGGCCAGAAGCAATGCCTACTAATCAAAACTATGGGTAAGCAGTTAGTCTATCTACAGGTTGCTGTATCCATGGAAAGTCACTACTGTGATTGAAATCAATGTAGACACATCAAGTTATCTCTAAATTAGCAGTGTCAGGTACTGTGATTATCCTGGCCATAGTAGCAGGCTGCAACAGCCCTGCTCCTGCACTGAACATATCTAATTGTGTGGGTCGGTGCACGCTGAGCTCTGCAGTGCAGCAGGTTGAAGGGCTGCAGCTCAGAGTCTCTGCTATCCGGGGACCTCTGCAAGTTGAACAGACTTGCCTCTGGGCTATCCTGCACTCTCACCAGTACGGAGAGGCGCTCTCTGAACAGTACTGCATCTCTTGATACGCAACGTGGCATTTCAGGCTCTCATCTACACTGAGAAAAATGCCAGCTGGTGACCCACAGAGACCAAATTCTGTCCCTTTGAAAAAATTCAACTCATAACTATAACTGGCTGAAAGGACTCTTTCCACCTTGAAAAATTTGAATGGCTTCAGATAGTTTCTGTTTGGACAACAGAAAGAAAACAAAACTTATGCATTCTTCTGAGGGATAGGAAGACAAAGACCACCACAGATCAGTTAATGTTCAGTCTCATGAGATACCCACAGACCTGCTGTTGAGTTCCCTACTCTGCCTTTCCAACCACCTGCTCTCACCCCCCGCTAGGGGATTGTGTGTATTTGTGCAAATCCACTGAGAAGTTCAATCTAATAGTTTTTTCTAAAGTCCAGTGGCTGGAATTAAAAACTGTGGCCAACTTACAGAGATCAGGGTTACCAGTGTTTTGACTAAAGCAGCATGCTCAGTGCTAAGAAGGACACCCAGTCTGTTCTTGCAGCTTTCTTCCCTTTTTTTTTTTTTTTAACTTAGTTTTCTTGTTTCAAAATGAAAAGCTCCAATTCTCTAAAGCAATCTTCCATTTTAGGACTCCAAACGTTAACTGAAATCAACCTGAATCTACAAGCAGTTTCAATAGACCAAAACACATATCCTTCACCAGACTGACTGGCTGCGCAAGATTATCCAGCTTCCATCAGCATCTTTCAGCTTCATCTTTAAGAATTTTTAGGAACATACGGCTTTGGGCTTTGACCAGACTAGAAAACAATACTCAATGATACAAAAAACCCCTTGAAATTATAGTTCATGTATTCACTCCCAGTTAAATGTTACAGTGCTAAAGATGGAATAGCAATCTAGCTGAAAAGATTAAAACCTAAGCTGATTTACTACCCCCTGGAAGAGCACAGGATCATTATTAACAGTAACTACAATTTAACTTATTGCTGTTACTGACTTATATCTCTAGCCTGCTGCAAATGCAAAGCACAATATCATAGCCAAAAATCACCAGGACAAGCAAAGTGAACCAGCATAGTTCAAGCCACCTTGAATATAAAGTCTGCTATCATGTTTCTGCAGCCAAATATAAAGTACATATTTGAATAGTTGGTCTAGCAAAGCAGGTCTTCAGTTGCATCTTTGGTTTCCTTCACTTTCAAATTAACTCCAAAGTTGTTCTCTTCGGGATAAAGGGATATTGGACTGAGGTACTGACCTCAGCACCTTATTGTTCATGTACGCGCAGGATGTCAAGACACAAGATTTGTCTCCCTCCACATAAAACTTAGTTATGGCAAGTATCAAAACCTATTGGTAATTCTGCTCTGCAGTGCTGGAATAACATGACATCTCATCAAGCAACTACCCCTTGCACAGTCAGAAACTGGCTAAAGGTGTTGTTCATGATATCCTAAACTTTCTGAGACTGCAAATTGCTTTATCATTCATTTTCTTCTACCAAGGGGCTAAGGGTGGGGCAGTTCCCATTGCAAATCAAAGCTCTTGTACTTCTGGTAGCCTCAGACAGCTGGGCTTGCATCATCACTGCCTACCTCTGGTACAAAACACAAAGACTCAGCACTGCCAACAAGCAGCACACTATAACTGGGAATGATCCTCCGTTGTCTGAATTGTAGACGCTCAGATAGACAGTCAAGAGGAAAAAAGCCACAGCTGGGGGAGGCAGGGTTTCAGAAGGAAGGAAGGAGGTTTATATTGAGTTGTCTTCAGACTGTGCTTTTCCAGGGCAAGAAAGCTAAAAAAGGCCAGCTTCCTGTGGTTCACTACCCAACGGTAAATAGCAATCATCTGCTGTTAAAAGTGAGAGCAAGGCACTTTACAAAGTAAGCTTTGGTAGTGTGTGTATTTATTTAACTGCATACTATTCTGAAGCTGCTAAGAATAGTCTTGTGGCTAA